TATTTCCTTGACTGTGACACAGATTAATAATAATCCCACCTCAATGGGATGCTGCCTGGCACAGGGTAAAGTTTCCACAAACATTTGCTATTATTAAACCATAAAACTGCTTGGCTTTGATGTAGAATTATATGAGTTCAGCACTAATTTTGTTATCTCAAGGAAATCAGAAGTGTTGACCCACACTTGTACAAGATTTTTTTTTAAATTTCATTTTTTAAAATTAAAGCATTATAGTTATACTTAGTATTTGGGTTGCTTTTGACAAAATTATATTGTATAAGGTTCTAATTGCCAAAATATGAGCAAATGGATTAACTGTGAGTAAAATGCATTTTCATCAATAAAACTTTTCAAAAATATGGGTGAGAAGGAGAGTGGGGAAGAAAAATAACAAAAATCCTTTCTGACAAAATTTAAGGGTGAATATACAAGACACGATAAGTTTTATTAAGGTCAAGAAAAGGCCCTGTGTGATAGGGCATGCCTGTAATCCCAGTAACTTGCAGGAGGATTGCAAGTTCAAAGCCAGCCTCAGCAACTTAGCAAGGTCCTAAGCAACTTATGGACACCTTGTCTCAAAATAACAAATAAAAAGAGCTGGGGATGTGGCTCAGTGGTTGAGTGCCTCTGGGTTCAATCCCTGGTACAAAAAAAAAAAAAAAAATTACAAGAAGAACTCCAAGTTTTGCAGAATCAGAGAGAGAGAAGGTCAAGTTTTGCTGAGGCCTGACCCTTCTTGAAAACAGATCTTTCTCCTCCTCCAGCTCTGTGCTATGGGGTTTCGAAACCTGAGCCCAAACCAGGACTGCAGGGGTGAAGATGTGTTTTGGAAGGCGGTTGTGCAAGGTACAAGTTAGTTGGGGCTCCCCATCCCTGGGAAGTCTGGTGAACTTGACCTGTACCCACAGTCTGTGTGACATCAGCAGTCCTCTGGCTCTGGTTTCTTTCTCCATCTCCCTGCTATGTGCTGCCAGCACTGAGTCCATTTAGAGGCAAAGTTTAGCCCTTCCCACTAAGTTCCACTAACAACCCACAAGCACCAATTCTTTCACAAGCTCTGTTATGCTGCTGAAGGTGAATGGAGGTAGATTTTTGTGGTTCAGGGTCACATCACATCCATATAGCCATCTGCCTGCTCCCAAATTCATGACCTTCATTTTTCTGGCTTCGTATCTTCTCCTCCCTCTGACTCATATACAAATCCTCACCCCACACCCCGTCTCACATGGAGGAGACAGCCCGACCCAAGCACTTATCCATATATTTTGTCAACAAAGACAGTTTACCCATCCTAGAGGAAGTCTGATCAAAATATTTTTACATTTGTATTACGGTTATGAGTCTTAGGCCAAAACAACAAAATGACTGCTTATAAATAATATCTCATTAAAAAATATAAAAATGCTTATAAATAAGTACTGGTCTTTCAGTAGAGTTTTGATAAATTAGACCTTAGCAGTGGCAAGGAACTGGGACCAACAGGAAAGCAGGATGGACCTCTGAAGAATCTTAGTGGGAGATATGCTCCATGGAAGGCATCTTTTGGGAGGGTCATTCTAGTAGTTCTAAGGGAAACAAGAGGGGTGGGAAAGCAGAAGCAAGACAGCCACAAGAAGGAGACAGCTTGTCTTTTAAATTTAGAGACAGGGTCTTGCTAAGGGCCTTGCTGAGTTGCTGAGGCTGGCTTTGACCTTGGAATTCTCCTGCCTCAACCTCCCCAGCCACTGGGATTATAGGCGTGTGCCACTGCACCCAACCGGAGACAGCTTATAGGAGAAAGTGGCATAGAGAATGGATTCAGGAGGTTGAGCTTATAGAAGTTAGTGACCAATGGATGGGAGAGGGCAGGGAGACAATCAAGAATGAGGGGAACCAACCAGTCCCAGTTTGCCTGATTTTACCTATTTTCCTATGTCCTGTGAAACCCGTCAGTTCTAATCAAATCAACACGATTGGTCTTTTAGGCTTGTGACTTGAAGAGTAGGGGTTTAGCAATGCTAGTCACTAAAGTGAAGACCCTAAGGGATTGAGGGGGTTTGGATAATGGGCAGCAAAATGCATAGGTGGAATAAGTTCCAGTGTTCTACAGCACAGCAGGGTGACCATAATTTACTACAACTTATTATATATTTGATAAAGAACTAGAAGGGAAGAGTTTGAAATTTTAAGGTTCCCAATTTCATTTCTCAATGTAAAGAAATGATAATCAGGGGCTGGGGCTGGGGCTCAGTGGTAGCGTACTTGCCTGGCATGTGTAAGGCACTGGGTTCGATTCTCAGCACCACGTATAAATAAAAATAAAGGTCTATCAACCACTAAAAAGAATGATAATCATGTAGAGGAAGTAGGAATGCTAATTATCTTGAGTTGATGCCGCATTGTAAACATGTATCACACTGAGACCCATGAATATGTACAGCTGTACATGTCAATTAAAAATTTAAAGCCAGGTGTGGTGGTGTAGACCTATAACCCCAGCAATTTGGGTGATTGAGGTGGGCAGTTAGCAAATTCAAGGCAAGCCTGGGCAACTTAGTGAGACTCTGTCTCAAAACAAAATAAAAAGGGTTGGGGATGTTGCTCAGTGGTACAGTGCTTCTCTAGCATGTGCGAGGTCCTAGGTTCAATCTCTAGCATGCATCTATCTATCTATCTATCTATCTATCTATCTATTCATCCGTTGTCCTCTCCCTCTCCAAAAAGGACGTAGATTCTTAGTGGAATGATAGGGCAGGTTGTGATATTCAAGTCATGGTAACAGCCTGGTGCTGGTAGCCAGCAGCAAAGGCTCAGCAATAATAAACCTACAATCATAACTACCACCTAACAAAAGTAGCTAAGCTTACTGAGCACTTTCTGTGCGCCTGGCCTAGTTCTAACTTTGTTAGAGCTTTTGTTGCATTTTCTCTCTCATTTGATCCCCAGAGCAACCTTATAAGAGGGGAATTATTACTTCCATTTGACAGATGAGAAAACTGAGGCGAAGAGATGATAGGGAACATATTTTCTTTAAGAATCAAAAGTGGAGGTGCCGACTGAGAACATCTCTGGCTGAAGATGTTCACTGAGACACATCTACAGTACTGAAGTTATCAGAAACTCCTAAGTAGGAGGCAAACAACTACGCCAATCTGAATACACCTCTAAAAATGAGTAGGCACTCCATTGTCCCTGTCTGCTTTGGAGAGAAAGGGAGCCATGCTGCTCTATTTCTCTGATCTGCAGAGGCTCTGGCTGTGCCAGTCTTGTCCTTCAGGCCTCTCTTATCTCACTGCAGAAAGTGAGAGCAAAGACGGGGGTGGAGGAGAAGCTGGGTGTTGGGGACAATGGTACCGAGCAGCTGTGGTACCTTGGGGAAGTGGAAGAGAGAAAAAGGGAAATTTTAAAAGACATTTTCTTATTGTGTGAATCCCCTTGATGGTTTAAGAAAGTATCATCAAAGGGTGTGAGTTCTGTAGAAATCAACTTTTGGTTGCTGGGCTGGGTTTTTGAGACAGTGGCAGGTTTTGAGGCGGGGCTGGGGGAATGGCTTTCCTTGTGTTGCTGCAGCGGCATCACAGCGTCAGAGTGTGACCAGCTGTAAGGCAGACAGGGCCCTAGGAACCATGCGCAGGAAGAGCAAGAGAATCACTAGTGCAAGAACTTCTCATGTGCCAGGTTCTGGGACCCAACTCAAACAGGGATAAAGTACAGCCCTGGCCTGCCGGGAGCATCTAGCTTAGCAGAGGAGACAGACAGTTTCACCGTCATGTAGTAAGAGGATTGATTGGTCTTGGTCTACGCAGCAGACTGCACAGGCCAGAAGGAATTCCACATAGCTTGGTGGCAGATGAGGTTATACTGTCAAACAAGGCTCCTTGAAGGAAACAGCAGCTGAACTAAGTCTTGAGGGAAGAGAGAAGGCAGGAGGGAGAAGATGCTCAAGAACAATATGGCGAGAACTGGAATAGTACTCCAAGGGAATTAGGAGCAAGTCGATGTGGCTAGAAGCAAAGACTGAGACGGGGGTGGGAGCTGATGGGGCTGAGGAGAAAGCAAGGACAAGAGCAGAAAGGCCACATGTAGGGCCTGGGGCATCCTCTAGCCAGCAGAGCCTCAGAAGGACTTTGAAGCAAGGGTGTACCTAGCCAGATCTGTCTTTTAAAGGAAGCCTTCTGGAGGCCATTGTGGGGAGAGAGGCTCTCCTGGGATAGCAGCTGGGGAGGCTGCTTGAAGTGGCACAGAGCACGGGCTCACGGTGTGGCTTGCCTGTTTCCCTGGGCAGTGAATGCCGCCTCTCTGAGTTTTAATTTCTTGCTTTAAAAAGGAGATAACAAAACGTACCTTGAAGGATTTTGAAAGAATAATTGTTAAGTGCTTGACACAGTAACTTGAAAATGGGAAATATTGCTTAGCTTCGGCAAGAGAGGACAGCATCAGAAATAAGAAAGAGGTAGAACAGAGCTTCAGAAGAGGGATCCGATTCGAGAGAAATGGAAGAAATTCTACGGTTTTACCAGTGGAGGTGGCACATGGGGGTTAAGGGACAGAGAGATACCTCATCAGGATCTATTACTATTCTTTGGTTATTTGCATCTTTAGTTATTAACAAAAGAAAATCAGTTCTGACTGATTTCAGCAAAAAGAAAAGTTAGTGGAAGAAAATGGCCCAGCTCAGAATCAAGTGAAAAGTTCATTAGCCAGACCTCAAAAAAACAACAACAACAACAAAAACAAACAAACAACAACAACAAAACCAGGAAAGGGGCGGTTCCAGGGTCTGAGCTGTAGGAAGTGACACAGGTTGGAATGAACCTGTGTCATCTGTGTTATGTCCTCATCTCCCTTCACCCAAGAGCTGATTGGCCTTGACTGGATTTGACCATGTAAAACACAATGAACTACGTTTTGGGAGAGATGGGTCTCCCAAAGGACTTCAGCCGCTGTTATTAGGAGAAGAGGGCAATGGAGGGACAGAAGGAACTGATCTCCTGAGAGTCCTCCTCATACTTCCTCACCTTGCACCCTGTTCTCTGTTTACCAAGAAGGGGAGATGGAGGATGGATTCCATGGCGAAGTCTCTGAACTTGGTTTTCTGTGTGGACATGTAACGCAGGCTGCGGTAGAGTCACAAGAGACCTGGGAGGGAGGGAGAGAAGTGGAAGTTGTGAGCTGACCAGGGGAGAGGGGAGATGAGATGGCCCGGGTACAGCACCAAAGGAGAGACCCCTGGAGAAATAAATGCTGAGCCAAAGAGAAAGTGTTTTTTAGAACCTGAGAAATAATGGTTTGGAAGATAGGAGGGGACCCAGGAGACGGTGGAAGTAGAATTTCAAGGACGTCAATTGGGGTGAAGCAGCCATTCCAATTTTGAGGGGACTCTCCCAATTTTAGTCCTGAAAGTTCCCTATCCTACTAACGTTGTCCATCCTGAACCAACTAGGATGGTTGGTGGTGCAGTCTGTGGCGTGAGAGTCAAGTGCAATAGCGGGTGTGCTGTGAGCCCCGAAAACCAGCTGTGGGCATTGGCAAGGAGGGAAGAGTGCTGGATGTGGCCGGAGCTGTCTGGCTGGGCGAAGGAGGCAGGGAGACACCTCCTCAGGATGGATTACTGTTTTTGGTTATTAACATCTTTGGTTATTAGCAAAAGAAAATCAGAGGCTGTGACAGTTCAAGAATGAAGGGCCAAGGAGGAAGCAATGGAGAGTGATGATGGGTCTGTCCAGGGCATTCACTGGGAAGGGAGGGAGGCACTTAGAAGCTGGGCTGTTGGCTCCTACAGGATCCAAGGAGGGTACTTAGTCATTTGGCTTGGTTATAGGATGGGAGGAACTTGAGCAAGTTTATAAGCATATTGAAAGTAGAGGAAGACAGCAGGGTTGGTTGCTGGAGAGAAGAGAATGTTCATGCTCAGGAACCGGGCCTCCAGGGAGCAGGGGTTAAAGGGACAGCCACTAGGTGGACCGAGGAAAGATGACACATTTGGGTGCAGCTGTAAGCTCTTGCAGCAGGAGAGAAGGTGTAGGGGACACGTGCTTTGTTGCTTCTATTTCCTTAAAGAAGTCATTCAGGGAGTGTGTATTAGAGGGTGAGGAATTATAGGAATGGGGTACAAGTGTGGGGTGGGGTGGACCACCATACATCAGCAATGGCTGTCAAGGCCTGGGTCAGCTGAGGGTGTGGCCTGTGCTGACATTTTCTCAGTAGCCTATAAGGAGCTGGACACAGGGGTGAGGACCAACAGAGGCAGGTGAGGCAGGAATGCAGGGTTGGTGAGGAGGTAGAGGATAGTGTTCCCTTAAAGGACAAACCAACATTGGGCTGAGCTTGGGCTGCAAGGAGGGAACAGAAAGGGGCCTGTGAGATTTGGAGTAATAGGGGGAAATCAAAGGCAAAGAGAATCAAAGGCAATCAAAATGGCCTGTAGGGGCAGTACTGCTGTGCCACTTGACCTTGAATAAGTAATTTCACCTTTCTGGGCCTTGGTCCCCCACCCCCACCCCTATAAGATTACCTAACCACTGTGGTACTCTCCAGCTCTACCCATGTATGGCTGCAAACCAGCATATCCCAGCCTCTCCAGCCTCCGGGTGAAGCACTTTCTGTACCTTCTATGCTGGAGCTGCTGAGCCAGTGTGAATCATTTTCTGCTCTGAAGGAATCAACCGTGGGGAACAAGATGTAAGATTTCAGTTCACAGAGGCTGGGTGCCAAGCCAGCGTTTCAACTGACCTGGCCAAAAGTTCACCTTCAGATTACTTTGCCTCAGGGGTCTCAGTAAACATTAACCAACACCTCAGATGACCCTGGACAAGCTATGGAAACAATCCACCCCTTTATGTACTCAACTGCCAGATGGTGACATGCGCAGCATGGTGGTGAAGTGGAACCAGACTGGACATGGGAATAAAGGAACGAACAGAAATGATTATTCCTGGAAAGGCCATCGCCCCAGGCTGGATTTCCCAGAAACAGAACCTAAGACGGGGAGTCCTGTTCATGGGGGTTTATAGGGAGAATGCTCCAAGGAGAAGGGAGGGAGGAAGCAGAATAAGGCAGGGGAGAAGAGTTGAGCAAGAGTGTGGGTCCCTCTGGAATCCTGGAGAAGATCTGGAGCACGGCTTGTGCAGAGTGAGTCTCACATGGACTAAGGCAGTGAGTCGTTCATACCCAGATTTCAATCAGTCCTTGGCCAAGGTCTGTGAACGAGTGAAATAGGGGTCAAAGCAGTGAGAGTGGACTTGTTTGACCCAGGGAAACTTTGTGCAGAAGAGGGCAGCAGGATTTTACCAGCAATACTCACTTGTAGTGGGTGGAAAGAAGGCACCTGCAGGACGAGCTGTAGCTACCTCACAAATAGTAAGCAGAAATTGTATCTCTGCATTTGTAGTTTAAAGGAAATGACATGTAGATAGAAATAAAACAAAACAAAAGGTAATTTTTATCCTACCACCCATACAGATTAAAAAGCAGTTTGAAAGTCATACTTTAATGCACATTTATTACATGACAGTTCCTTTGGGTCAGGAGTCCAGGCATGTCTGTCTGTCTTCCTTCCTTCCTCCTCCTCCTCCTCCTCCTCCTCCTCCTCCTCCTCCTTCTCTTTCCTGTCAGTACTAGAGATTGAACCCAGGACCTCTCACATGCTAGGCAGGCTCTATAGCACTGAACTACATCCCCAACCCTCTGAAAGTCATTAATCAATTCATAAATGTTATTCACCATCTCAGTGATGAACAGTAAAACTGCTCTCACCCCTTTCCACACATCAACCAAGAATGAATATCCTTAGTATATAGTTTCCATAAATCAATAAAAACCAAATTCCTTATAGTTACATAGATAGATGATCTAATCAACTGTCTACCAAAAAGGAAATACAAATATCTATCAGGAATTTGTAAAAACAAACCATTGAGTTTTAGTGACAAAGAAACAAAAGAAGGAATATACACAGTTCACCTATTAAATTATAAATACTTTAAAATTAGAGCACACAAAGCTGGAAAGTATCAGGAGAGATAGGTGCTCTCTACATAGCCAGTGGCAATATAGATTGGTCTAAATAATCTCAAAAAATAATTTTTTAGTATGTTCATGGAATTTAAAAATGTTTAAACGCTCTGATTTTTTTACTTTTACTCTCAAGAATATGTCCTAAGAAAATCATGTGAATGTTACATTATCATTATATAATGGAACTGAGAGGTTGCCATGTGGTAGGCATCATGCTCAGTGCATTAACAGGCATTACTGTACTTCATTTAGCCCACAAACTGTTTATGAGCTGGGTACTTTCAGGAAGTCTTTTTTTTCAGGAGAAGAAATTGAGGCTTAAGGAAGTTGTAAAAGTTATGAATATTGTGAATAAGTGGGGAAGTTTGGATTATCTGACTTTGTGGGCCCCAAGTATTTTTACTTAATCTATGGGTTCATTAATAAATGGGTCTAAGAAGAGGAGAAACCTAGCTTTTTCTTTTTCCCTTTTTTTAAACAAAATAATTAAACCAGGCTAACTATTCTTTGCTCCTTTGATCAGAGAACCTCAGCAGTGTTTGGATTTCTAATTAAGTTAGACAGATTTAATTAGGAGTCCTAGGATTTTCATCTAGTCCTTTGGAACATTTTGCGTTAAGTTTCAGGTACAAATATAAAACAGTCCATGCACGTCTGTGTAAATTGGTGTGAGGTGCTACTGAATTTTGAGGTTGGGGATAGAAATGAAATAACAGGGATTTATAACAATAATCTATTGCCAAAATAATCAGTTGCATATACTTGTTTGATTATCTATCTCTTCTCCAAAACTGTGAGCTCAACAGCAGCAGGGATTCTGCTTGTCTCATATATTAAAATAACCTTACATGGTGAGGATGGATTATGGGTCTGTACTAGGTCCTGTCTGCCAAACTCTCACATGTGGACAAGAAGACACGCCACAAGAATGGTACTGGAGTGGCATCATTGGTATTCATAAAATATTTGGAAGGACATCTGGATTATTTCTATTACTAAAAATTTTGTGTATAGGTTTTTACATGAACATAAATTTTCATTTGCCTGGAATAAATTCCCAGAAATGATATTGCTGATTTGGATGGTAGTTGCATATTTATTTTTTTTTTAAAGAAACCGTCAAACTGTTTTCCAGAGTGGATGTACTATTTTACATTCTCGTCAGCAATGTGTAAGTGATCCTCAATAGCACTTGGTGTTGTCACTATTCTTGTTATTTTAGTCATTCTGATAAGATGTGTAGCAATATTCTATTGTGATTTGAATTTGCATCTCCTTAAATAGCTAACAATGTTAAACATCTTTTCATGAGCTTATTTACTATCTGTATGGGTGAAGTGTACTTGCATGCCATCTTCCCATTTTCTAATTGGATTTTTTTTAAAAAAACTTTTGGATTTTGAATGATGGTTATTAGTCTACCTCTCTGTCTGATATGTGGTTTGTAAATTTCTCTTCTAGTCTGTAGTTTTAATCTTCATTCTCTTAATAAGGTTTTTCACAGAGCGGCCTTTAAAAATATTGGCAAGTTTCTCTTACCTGTATTATTTTCTTTAATGGATGCTGCAGGTTTTCTCCTATCCCTGCCCCCACCAAAAGTGTTATGGTTTTACACTAAAGTCCACAATTCATTTTGAGTTAATTTATGTTTAAGACATGAATCTTAGGTTGAAGTTCATTTTTATCCCTCTAGGTATTCAATTATTCCAGCGCTCTTCTTCCTCCAGTGGATGGATTTTGCATTTTGGTATAGTTGGGTGAGTCCATTCCCAAGTTCTTTTATTCTGTTTCATTGATCTGTGTATCTACCCCTCCACCAATACTATATAGTCTTGATTATTGTACCTTTAGAATAAGTCTTGCTGGGCACAATGGTGCTTGCCTTTAATCCCAGTGACTGGGGAGCCTGAAGCAGGAGAAGTGCAAGTTCCAGGCCAGCTGTTTTCTAATTTCATTCCTTTATGATCTGATAGAATGCAAGGTATTATTTCTATTTTTTTCTGTATTTTCTAAGAGTTGCTTTGTGGCTGAAGATATGGTTTATTTTAGAGAAGGAGCTGTGTGCTGCTGAGAAGGAGGTGTATTCAGTCATTAGTGAATAAGATATGTATATTAAGTCTAAATTATTAATTATATTTTTAAATTCTATGACTTTCTATTTAGTTTTTGTTTGGAGGATATATCCAGTGGTGAGAGAGGTGTGTTAAAGTCAACCAGTGTTATTGTGTTGTGGTCTATTTGCTTCTTGCAATTGAGAAGGGTTTGTTTGATGTACTTGGATGCTCCATTGTTTGGGGCATAAATATTTACAATTGTTATGTCTTGTTGATGGATGTATAATTCCCTGAAGCAGTATGAACTGTCCTTCTTTGTCCTTTGTTATTAACTTTGGCTTGAAGTCCATTTTATCTGATATGAGGATAGAAACCCATTTGTTTACAAGATCCATGTGAATGATATGTTTTTCCCCCCTCCCTTTTACCTTCAGCCTGCATATGTCTTTGCCTATGAGGTGAGTCTCCTGGAGATAACCCATTGTTTGGTCTTGTTTTTTAATCTGACCTTTTAGTCTATGTCTTTTGATTGATGAGTTTATGACATTTACATTCAATGTTATTATTGAGAAATGATTTTTATTCCCTGTCATTTTGATTCATTTCTGATTTTTAATTTGAATTAGTTTTTCTTTGATTGACTATTCTTCTAGGGCAGTTTCCCCTTTTCTATTTTTCAGTTTTATTTTTTATTTCTTCTTCATGAAATATTTTATGGAGTGTGTTTTGTAGTGCAGGCTTTCTAGTTGTGAATTCTTTTAATTTTCATTTATTATGGAAGGTTTTTATTTCATCATCAATTTTTAAGTTTAATTTTGCTGAATATAGTATTCTTGGCTGGCATCCACTTTCCTTCAGAGCTTGATATATATGATTTCTAAGACCTCCTAGCTTTGAGTATCTGGGTTGAAAAATCAGTTGAGATCTGGATTGGTTTCCCTCTAAATGAAACCTGTCCTTTATCTCTTATAGGCTTTAAAATTCTATTCTGTTCTATCCTATATTTCATATCTATTAACCTTTGTTTCATTCTCTACAGGTTGGTCTATTCAGTATAATATTCTCTTTGCTATTCATATCATCGATTATATTAATCTAGTTGATTTAAAGTATTTTTTTAAAGCTTTCTGTTTCTGTATGTTAGGCAATTTTAATAATACTGTGCCTTGGTGTGGGTCTGTTGTTGTTTTGTATATTTGGGGTCCTATAAGCCTCCTGTATCTGATTTTTCATTTCATTCTTTACATTTGGGAAATTTTCTGATATTATTTCATTGAAAAGATTGTGCATTCCTTTGGTTTGTATCCTGAGACTTCATCTATTCCAATAAATCTTAAATTTGGTCTTTTCAGGTTATCCCATATTTCTTGTAATTTCTATTCATGATCTCTTAACATCTTTTCTTCAAGGTCAACTTTATTTTCAAGATTATATATTTTGCCTTTGTTGTCTGAAACTCTGTTTCTGAGTGGTCTAGTCTGTAGGTGATGCTTTTCATTGAATTTTTAATTTGGTTTATTGAGTTTTTTCATTTCGAGGATTTCTGCTTGATTTTTTTTTTTTTTTCAGAATCTCTACCTCTTTACTGAAAGTGATCTTTCACTTCCTGTATTTTTTCTCTGATGTCACCCTTTACATTATCCTTTACCTCACGGATTAGGCTAACTATGTACATTCTAAACTCCTTCTCTGACATTTCTTCCACTGTGGTGTTGATAGATTCTGCTATTGAAATATCTTGGTTTTGGGGGGGCAATTTTTTCCCTTGATTTTCCATATTGTTTTTGTGTCTACCCATCTAACAATATGAGGTAGTAGCTTCTACCCTGTAGACTTGTAGTGTCCCTGAAGGTTTCCAGTACCTCACTGTTTAGGGATGGACAAATAATAACAACCAATGAAAATAATGAACAAAATACAGCATTAAACCAAATAGTTCCTGCTATGATGTCTACAATATTGTTAAAATAAACAGAAATGATAGGATCAGTTATTACCTACAATAAGAACAATATGTTTGCAAAAGGGGTTACAATTTTGAATGCTGGATAAAGAGAGAACGGAAGTGATGTAGGATGTGATGATTATGAGGGAGGAGCAGAGAAGATAGAAGTAAAAAAATTAAAGAAAGGGTGAAAGAGGGAACAATGAAATTGGCTGTTCATGGAAGAAGAGAGAGAAAGAGAATCAAGGGAAGCAGATGATAGAAAAAAATATACATAAAGGAAACATTTTAAAAATTAAAAATAAAAAATACAAAACAAAACTGAAATATAGTAATTAAACATTCTAGTCCTCAAATGTTTCATGGATCAAACTGATCCATGAAAAATAACTTGTTTAAAAATGCTAGCAAGGAGGGGAAAAAAAAACCCCAAATATGAATATGTATAAATGTCCATGAACCATTAAGGTCACAATTAAACAGAGTTAAGAAAAAAGGGGGAAAAAGATCTCAATCAAAAGAATTTTTCCATTGGAGTTCAAAAGATTCTCAGCTTCCCTTTTCAGCAGTGTTAGGTGGGGTCATTTGGAGTATGATGTTTGCTTTACCCCAAGAGTGGGTTTGCTAGAGTAAGAGAGTTAATTCTGTAGGTGGAACTCCTGGAGGTCAAATTTAGGCTTAGGTAGCCTCCAGGCTCTCTGCTGAATGCCAGTTGGTCTGGAGATTTTAAATCAGTGCACCTTCAGGGCCCAGAAATTGCTGGCCCATTCTGGAAGACTGTACTCCAGGGATCTCCCTTGGATTCCAATCATGTGGTAGAAGAGCCAGTTCTTAGTTCACTATGTCACCTGTGGACTGCATGTTTCCTGGTCTCAGGTTCAGTCTCCAAACTCAATCTCTCCCACTTGCTGCAGTCTGGCTGGGCACAATCAGGAGCCACTTGTCAAAAGAAACTAACTTTATTTTTAGAACCACACACGCCAAACAAAACAGCCTCTCAGGAAAAACCCTCAGAGCCTCAACTGCCACCACCGGCTTTCCACAAGCCTCAAGATGTTGAGAGCCACAGCCGAAGGGGCCCCAGCAAACTTCCAGCTGCCGGCTGATGATTGGCTCACAGCGGCCCCAGCAACATCTAGCTGATTGGCTCCTCTGCGGTGATGCTCATTGGGCTGTTTCCCTGCCCTTTCAGACCAAGGAGCTGCTCATTGGGGGACTTTTTTGGCTCCGCCCACGTGACCCAGCCAATCGGCCTCAAGAGCAGGAGGATTGTGGGAGGTGGAGAGAAGCTTGTGAGAGAGAGAGGCTTGTGGAAAGCCGGTGGTGGCAGTTGGGGCTCTGAGGGTTTTACCTGAGAGGCTGTTTTGTTTGGCGTGTGTGGTTCTAAAAATAAAGTTAGTTTCTTTTGACAAGTGGCTCCTGATTGTGCCCAGCCAGACTGCGGCATTTGGTGGCTCGCACGGGGAGCGACTGAGGGTAAGTGAAACTGCTCGCCCCTGAGGGCAGGGCGAGAGGATGGGTGGGCATTTTAAGATTCCTCTTTTATTTTGCTTCACTTTTGTTTTAAGTTGCCTATCCGTGGAGATGAGTGAGACAGAAGAAAAACCGCTCACATCTGTGGAAAAACTATTTACATCTGAGGAACAGATAGGGAGAAAGGACGGATGCACATGTCAGGAGGATAGAAAGGCTATAATGACTTTTTGTTGTTCCCTTTTTATTTCATTTTGTCTTGGTCTTGTTTGGCGTCATCTTGTTGGGTTGTATTATAGTAGAAATACGGGATCAGAAATTAGTAAAAAACAAACTGAAAGAGTGTTAAGTAAATTGTTAGAGGAAGGAGGCATCTCAGTAAAATCAAGAACAGTCAGGGCATACGTTGATACAATACAAAAATGTAGCCCATGGCTTTTTAAGGAGGAGTTGTTAAATATATCACAATGGAACCATCATGGTGAAGATTTAAAAAGAATAGAAAAGAAAAGCCCAGGGACTCTGCCAGTTGGCACATTGCCATTGTGGACGTTCATATCTTGTTTGCTTAGTCCAAAGCCTTCAGTTCAGACAATGGTAGAGGAAGGAGAAGACATATTGATTCAAGTAAAAGAGAAGGTCTCTCAAGTTATTCAGACAGAGGAAAAGATTCAAGTAAAAGAGAAGGTCTCTCAAGTTAGTCAGACAGAGGAAAAGATTCAAGTAAAAGAGAAGGCCTCTCAAGCTAGTCAGACAGAGAAAGAAAGTATAAAACAGAAAAAGCCATCAGGGGGAAAGTTACAACAGGAGACTGCTACTAACACCTTTCTATCACCAGAGGACGTAAGTGTCCAACTAACAAGGCCACCTCCATATGCTGGGAGGTCCCCAACCCCCGCAGTTGATAGTTGGGATCCTGAGACAAGATCTCAAATATTAACATGCCCTGTATTTGAGGCAGGAGGGCAGCGATTTTACCAAGTTTTAAATTTCAAAACAGTGAAGCAGCTAAAAGAGGCTGTAACAACCTATGGTCCTCAAGCACCCTTCACTGTAAGCATGGTCGAATCCATTAACAACTTGAACATGACGCCAGCAGATTGGGCTAATATGTGTAAAGCTGTGCTAAATGGAGGACAATACCTGTTATGGAAGGTTGCCAATGAGGAATTTTGCAAGGAGACGGCTAGGCGAAATGCCGCAGTCTGGCTGGGCACAATCAGGAGCCACTTGTCAAAAGAAACTAACTTTATTTTTAGAACCACACACGCCAAACAAAACAGCC